AGAGCTAATCAATGAATTTGGTAAAGTAGTAGGATACAAAATCAATGCACAGAAATCTCTTGTATTCCTATACACTAATAATGAAAAATCTGAAAGAGAAATTAAGGAAACACTTCCATTTAGTATTGCAACAAAAAGAATAAAATACCTAGGAATAAACCTACCTAAGGTTACAAAAGACCTGTATGCAGAAAACTATAAGACACTGATAAAAGATATTAAAGATGATACAAACAGATGAAAAGATGTACCATGTTCTTGGATTGGAAGAATCAACATTGTGAAAATGACTCTACTACCCAAAGCAATCTACAGATTCATTGCAATCCCTCTCAAACTACCAATGGCATTTTTCACAGAACTAGAACAAAAAATTTCACAATTTGTATGGAAACACTAAAGACCCCGAATACCCAAAGCAATCTTGAGAAAGCAAAATGGAGCTGGAGGAAACAGGCTCCCTGTCTTCAGACTATACTACAAACCTACAGTAATCAAGACACTATGGTACTGGTACAAAAACAGAAATATAGATCAATGGAACAGGATAGAAAGCCCAGAGATAAACCCACACACATATGGTCGCCTTATCTTTGATAAAGGGGGCAAGGATATACAGTGGAGAAAAGAGAGTCTCTTCAATAAATGGTTTGGGGAAAACTGGACAGCTACATGTAAAAGAATGAAATTAGAACACTCCCTAACACCATACACAAAAATAAACTCAAAATGAATTAAAGACCTAAATGTAAGGCCAGACACTATCAAACTCTTAGAGGAAAACATAGGCAGAACACTCTTTCACATAAATCACAGCAAGATCTTTTTTGACTCACCTTCTTGAGTAATGGAAATAAAATCAAAACTAAACAAATGGGACCTAATGAAACTTAAAAGCTTTTGCACAGCAAAGTAAACCTTAAACAAGACGAAAAGACAACCTTCAAAAGGGGAGAAAATATTTGCAGACGAAGCAACTGACAAAGGATTAATCTCCAAAATATACAAGCAGGTCATGCAGCTCAATATCAAAAGAACAACCCAATCCAAAAGTAGGCAGAAGACCTAAATAGAATTTCTCCAAAGACATACAGATTGCCAACAAACACATGAAAAGATGCTCAACATCACTAATCATTAGAAAAATGCAAATCAAAACTACAATGAGGTATCACCTCACACTGGTCAGAGTGGCCATTACAAAAAAAATATACAAACAGTAAATGCGGGAGAGGGTGTGGAGAAAAGAGAACCTTCCTGCAATGTTGATGGGAATGTAAATTGATACAGCCACTATGGAGAATAGTAAGGAGGTTCCTTAAAGAACTAAAAATAGAACTACCATATGACCCAGCAGTCCCACTACTGGACATATACTCTGAGAAAACCATAATTCAAAAGGACTCATGTACCACAATGTTCATTGCAGCTCTATTTACAATAGCCAGGACATGGAAGCAACCTAAATGTCCATCAACAGATGAATGGATAAAGAAGATGTGACATATATATACAATGGAATATTACCCAGCCATAAAAATGAATGAAATTGAGTTATTTGTAGTGAGGTGGATAGACCCAGAGTCTGTCATACAGAGTGAAGTAAGTCAGAAAGAGAAAAACAAATGCCGTATGCTAACACATGTATATGGATTCTAAAAAAAAAAAAAGAAAGAAATGTTTCTGAAGAACCTAGCGGCAGGACACGAATAAAGATGCAGATGTAGAGAATGGACTTGAGGACACGTGGATGGGGAAGTGTAAGCTGGAAGGTAGTGAGAGGTTGGCATGAATTTATATATACTACCAAATGTATAATAGATAGCTAGTGGGAAGCAGCCGCACAGCACAGCACAGGGAGATTAGCTCGGTGCTTTGTGACCACCTAGAGGGGTGGGATAGGGAGGGTGGGAGGGAGATGCAAGAGGGAGGAGATATGGGGATATATGTATATGTATAACTGATTCACTTTGTTATAAAGCAGAAACTAACACACCATTGTAAAGCAATTATACTCCAATAAAGATGTTAAAAAAATAATAAAAATTAAAAAATAAAACACACCACGTTGCCTTAGGGATTTTGTCAGTGGTCCCCAAGCTTAAGGTCTCTATTCTTTTTTTTTTTTTTAAGAAAGGATTGGAATAAAATGAATGTTAATGTCTCTTTCAATTCTGTGTATAACTTTGCATTATTAGAGGAAATCTGGAGCAGAGGTGCTAAACAAACAAGGAGTCCAGCTTCCTGGGATCCTTGTCCACTGATCATCAGGCATTCTTTGGGAAACACTGAGGAAGGTCAGATTTCACAGTGGGGGGACCCACGTTCTGCCCATCACTCAGAGTCATTCCTGACCAAAGCTCCACATTTATCAGGCTCCAGGCCAGAGGCAAGTAATGGATCCAGCTCACATCACCACTGAGTGACAAACTTCCAAGGAAGAGAGATGCGACAGCCAGTGAAGCTGTTCCCACTTGTAAGAGACAGCCAGGCAACTGGACAAAACAGCTACTGAACTTAAATGTTTAGTTTATTTCTATCTACTGAGGTTTCTCTGATCCAGACGAAATCCAGAGCTTTGAAGGGAAACACAAGAATGTAAAGTTCCTTGCTAATAGGGCCCTCTAAAAACCCAGGAGAGTTATGAAATTATTCCTCCTAAGGGGACATAATCACTCAACCTTTTCAGCCAAACATGTTTGAATGTTCCAAACTTGTATTGACGCAGCTTTGAAGAGCTTGGTTCCTCCACTAGTGTAAATCAGGCATTTTTGGAGAATGTCCCTAGCATAACATGCCTTTATTTGGAAGCAGTTGGGAAAATTGGGGAGAAGATGTTGACGAAACCATCTGATCAGACTCAAGGTCCTCTTCTAGCATCCCCTGGCCCACAAAATCTGCCCCATTTCTAAACACAAATATATAGGAATTTCCACTTACAGAGTAAGAGAGTTATCACTCCACTGAGCACTTTTTATATATATTAACTCATTTATTTCACCCAACAATTCTCTAAGGTAGGCATGATTATTATTCCCATCTTAACCTAGCAGAGAGTGGCTAGTAAGTTGTGCATGGTAACCAAGCTAATTAGTGGCAGAACCATCGCCGAAACTCAGGATCCTGATTCCAGAGATCACGCTAGACCACTTCATCTGGAGCTGAGCAGGAAAGAGTAAGGAAAATCCAGATTTCCTGGTCTCTACTTGGTTCCTTTTTAGGTACTTGTAGACCAGTTACTCTAGATGGGAGCGGAGAGAGCATGTAGGCCAGTAAGTGGACTCTCTTAATCTCGTGTCCATGATGGGCATGACCAGTCAACCACATCACTGTCGTCTACTAATGCAAGGCAAGGCCTCAGAGTCCTTCTCAACACACCTCTCTGTGCCACCTGTACCAATTTGATATGCAAGTGTAAAGGAAAAGCCCGGAAAGGGCCTTGCAGTGCCTCCATACCAGTATTCAATTCTGTATTCACTGCAGTGACCCCATTAAAGACTTTAATTAAGGACCTCGTTAAAAGACATCATTAATAATGACCTCCTCTTGCACCATCTCCTAGTAGGGGGCTAGTGTTATGCACGAAGAGGATACATGTGGGTTATTGTCTCTTTCTCTTTGATATTTTTAGCCATTGGGCACCTTGTCTGCAATGTGTGCTCAGGGAGTGAGGTTGAACTAGATTGCTGGTTTTCCAAATGTGTTCCTTGAATCCTTGGGGTGTGAGGGCATGTGGGCCAACTATCATGCTTCAAACAGACCCAATCCACTACAGTGAATTTGATGAACAAGCTTTGGCTATTTGATTCCATTTGGAAAAGGCTTTAGGGGCTAAGCAAATAGTTTAGAAATGCCCAGGAACCTCCATACTGTTTTCCATAGGGGATGCACCAATTTCCACTCGCACCAATAGTGTACAGGGGTTCCCTGTTCTCCACATCCTCGACAACACTTACCGTGCTTTGTATTTTTTATAAAAGCCACCCTAAGAGGTGTGGAGTGATACCTCATTATGGTTTTGATTTGTATTTCTGGGGAGATGTTTGTCAAAGTGTACAAACATTCAGTTATAAGATGAATGAGTTCTGGGGGTCTAATGTACAGCAAGGTGACTCTAGTTAATAATACTATATTATATACTTGAAATTTGCTAAAAGAGTAGATCTGAAGTGTTCTCACCATGCACACCCCCCAAAAAGTTAACTATGTGTGGTGATGGAGGCGATGGATGTGTGAGTTAACTTAATTGTAATAATCATTTCATAATGCGTGTGAATATCAAACCATCATACTGTACACCTTCAATATATACAATCTTTATTTGTCAAATTTCCTTAACAAAACTGAGTAAAGAATGCAGAGGAAGTCAAGATAAATAAGAAATATTCAGTTCTGATGTCCTATAACACTAAAATTCCAGGGCACTAAGATTCTGTGACCACTAGATTGAATTATGGGGTGAGTTTCTCATGTGCTACAATTCCTGGGTTCCCAGAGACCAAGCAATGTTCAGAGCTGCTGAGATCTCTCTGTATTTGGATGGGAGCCTAGCAGAAGTTTTAGGGCCCCTTTCTGGCCTCTAAACTCCTAAAGACCACCATGTGAACACAGGGACCAGGGAAGGTACTTGAATCTCCTCATCTCTTCATGCCCTTGGTCTCCCTGGCTCTTCCCCCACTGCAGATGGTTCATTTCAGAGAAATCAGAGCTTGTAAAAATGACCCTCTAGTTTACCATTTGTGCTCAGTCATTCCAAAAACATCCAAGAGTGGGAAATGATTTTGCCTCTTATGTCCTGTTAACTTGCTGGGATCTGGAACAGCAACTCAGGACCTGCCTTTGTCATGATTTGTTCATGACCCTGGCCAAGCAAAGGTTTCCCTGGAAGCTCCCACACCCTGTGCTGTCTTTAAAAGGCATGTAGAGCAGCCAGAGCTCCAGAGAGGCTGAGACAAACGCAGAAACCAACAGCTCTCAGGCTGAAGCTTGTAACCTCCCCGCTCAACATGAAGGTCTCTGCAGCACTTCTGTGTCTGCTGCTCACAGCAGCCGTATTCAGCACCCAGGTGCTGGCTCAGCCAGGTAAGTCCCTTCTCTATGGCAAAGCTGATCACCACCAGAACTGTCAGATCAGCAAGAATCTGCAGAGACTTGCTGCAGACCCCGTCATTTTAAAGATGGGAAAACGGGTCCCACGAGTGTACAAGAAGAGCCCCGACCTCACAATCAGAGAAAGAGCCAGAACTAGAAACCCAGGCTACTGAGGTCAGTCCCCACATTCTTTCCTGACATGAATATTGAGAGTGATGTTGTGTCCATCCATAATCCGGCTGCCTTTGCATGTTTGGGGATGGGGGCACACAAAAGAAAGACCCTCTCTTATTGCAGGCACAGGGGGCATTTTTGTCACTGGTGGAGAGGAAAAAAAATGCTTTGACTGTACACCCCAAAATTTTACTGGATCCCAAGACAGTTTTCAGAAACAGTGGTTAGAGGAAGGGAATGAGGTCCCAGGGGAATCTCTCAAGGTGACGTGTTGTGATTGTATCTATATGTTTGTATCATAACTCATGTTTTCATCTTCTGATGACTTAGATTTTCTGCACGTATCAGTCTGAATAAGACAATGCATGCTGTGGTAACAAACAATCCTAAATTATCAAGGGCTTAAAACAACAAAGGTTAATTTCTTACTCCTACTAAATATCTATAATATATTGTCTAGAGCTTTGACTTCATATACTCAGGATTCTGGATTGATGGGGCAACTGATGGATTGGGAACATTGCTGCTTACTGTAATGAAGGAAAAGAAAGCTCTCAAGCGTCTTGCACTGACAATTACAAAAGCTACCTTAGAAATGATACTTGTCACTTTGTCTTCTCACTTATTGCTCGAAACCAGTTAATGGTTCCAATCAACCAAAAGTGGCCAAGACTTGCAAGTCTACCATGCGTCCAGAAAGCAGAGAATGGAGAGTATTTGATGAGCAGTATTATGACTATCACTTAGTGACATAGCTCTTCATAATGACGAAGTTGGAGCTTATTGCACTGACCAAGCTTTTTCCATATCCTTGCCTGTAGCGATGGGTCCCTACCGTACAGCTGGGGACACCAAATCAAAGGCAGAGGTACAGGACCTCAGAGCAGATGGATTCTGCCTCCATCTCTTACATTTCCTTGCCTTCCTGAAATTCCTTTCCTTACAAAGTCATGCTTAAAAATTATCTACATATCATTAGTGCTCAGTCTTTCTATTCATTTCTCCCCAATTCAGCTTCTATCCCAACTGTCTGCTGCTTTAATGTGGCCAGAAGGAAGATCTCCATTCAGCGACTGCAGTGCTACAGAAGAATCACCAACAGCAAATGTCCCCAGAAAGCTGTGATGTAAGTAGACAAAACCTACCCTCTCCCAGCCCAAAATTTCATTTCTGGGGGATAGAGCTCTTGAAACTGCATTAGAGTTAACTGGAGGCTTACACTTAGAGAGTTCCATCTCTGTAATCCAATCCATGAGTTTTCACAACAGGAAATTTTCCCTCTAGCTCCCTGCCTGGAAGTTTGTTCAGGTCATACCAGTTCCTTGGAGTCAAGAGCAAGAATGGCTTTACTGAGCCATCAAGAGTAGCCACTGACCCTCAACATCCCACCCTTCCTCTATCTCCTTCGTCTGCTCCCATGGCAACCCCTTCATCCCATGGCAGATGGTCCTGGAAGCTTTAGGATTAAATTGGCACAAGTTTCAAAGAGGATCCTTAATAAGTTCTTTCCCTCTCTCCCACAGCTTCAGCACCAAGCAGGACAAGAAGATCTGTGTTGATCCCCAGGAGAAATGGGTCCAGGATGCCATGAAGTACCTGGACCAAAAATTCCAAACTTTAAAGCCATAAATATTCACCTTTTAAAACCAAACCAGAGCCTCAAAATGCTTGATTCATTCTCCCGGTCTTCCTAAGATGTATTCTGAGATAACCTCATTCCAAAAGGGATGGCTTTTATTTAATAATTTTTAAAAATATTGCATATAAGTTATTGACTTTTTAAAAAATTTTCTGCCATGAATTTTTGTTACTTTTAAAATGTAAAGCTTTGGTTGGGTCCCTCCCCCTCTGTGAGCCCCAATTCAATCCCCTGCAACGTATGAGTAATGTTGTCTCTCTCCTCCTTAATTCTCTGGAATCTTGTAAAAGTCCTGGCAAGGATCATCGATACAAAAACGTTTTGTATTTTTAAGAAAACATTGCTCTTGTGAACCAAAGGTGTGGCTCATAATGTTAAATGGAAATACATGTTATTTTAGGAATTCAGAAAAAATATTTTTTATTACAGTCAGCAGTTGTATATTTTGCGGGGAATGCACATTGACCTGGGAGGGAGAAAGATGGAAGTAGGGTGAGAGGTATGGTTATGGGGGCGGGAACTGTGTTCCTGAGAAATGGCCTTTTAGTTCTGCTGGTCTTCAATGAGATTCAGGGTAAAACTAACAAGACCAGACAAAACCTTTCCATCCCTCTAATTCCAGTCCCCAAGAGAGGTTTCCCAGACCCCAGGTGCTACAGTCTCTTATTCAGCAGGACTCTCACCACCATTCCTTGCCTGGCCAGCCTCATGCTTGCCCCAAGTCTCTCTCATGACCCGTTGCAACGGCCTGTGATATTCTCCCTGTGCCTGACATTACTCCTCTGATCATCCTCCAACCAAGGATGAACAGAAAAGAGACATTGGGAATTCAGAGGAAGCCTAGATAACCCTTGACAAGAGGTTTATTTAGACTAAGACTATATCAGCACTTAAGGAGGCTTCATCCTAGAACTTAAACCAGGTCTTCATGGATGGACAAGTGCAGGGGCTCTTTGAAAGCTCTTTCAGGCCAGGCAGAAAGGAGACAGGTATAGTTTGAGTGAATGCCTAGAAGCGGGGCGGGGGGGGGGGCGGATTATAATGTGTTCATCAAGTTGGGTGGAGGCCCACTGGGAAGATGTTAGATTGGAGTCTGTGTGAAGTGATGGGGAAATTTGAGAAGGAAGCTTGAGGCCAGTCTGTGAAGGTGGGGAATTTATGCTCCATTCAGATAGTGATAAGTAAGATGAACATGTCATTTTTATCACCCAAATTAGGACACGTTTGAGAATAAAAGGAGGCACCATTAATAATTATGCTGGGACAACCGATATAAATTAACACCGACCCTGGCAAATCAGAGCTTCTGGTCACCCTGGTGCTAATAGACATTGGCAGTTGATTTAGTGGGGGAGGGGAGTGCCATGATCAGTGGGACTTCTTCAGTAAACACCTCTATGGGCTGGAGTGAGAGGGGTAAGGGGAACAGCCAGTACACTCTGGCAATGTATAGGCATGAGGCTGTTAAATAACAAAAATTCTACTGAATAAGTTTAGAGGTCAAATTGGCTTTATTCAACAACTCATGAATCAGGCAGCAGCCCATCTAACAATAAAAAGGAGCTTCCCCAAGCTGTAGAAAGGAATGGTTTTTAAAGGCAGAAAGGGGATGGAAAAAGAAAATTATTAGCAAAGAATGCATTGTTTCAGGCAAAGTCACCTTCCTAAGGAGAATGGAAGGGCCTGGCAGTTGGGTCAGCTCACTAGTGCTGACCGGATATTTCTAGGTTGACTGGTTAAAGGTCACAATCCTGGGAGGTTGAATTGAAGCTAGTTCAGGTAATAAGTCTTGGTTTGCTGATGTGGGGTTTAACACAAGTGACTCTGTTTGGGGCCTGCTGTCTCCTTTTTATTTTGTTTTATTTATTCTATTTTATTTTTTATTTTTTCTGTCTCCTTTTTAAAACTATCCTGCCCCCACTCTGCTTTTGATCAGAATAACTGAGACATGAGATCAAAATTTAAGGCATTAGCACCACTCTTAGCTACTGCTCTGTAGTTCTCACAGCTTTTGCCCATCCTCTGTGCGGTATTCACAGGTCAGGACCATTTTTTCCTTCATCTCTGTGATATCCATAGGTCATGGTTTCAGGTTCACGATTTTTTTTTTTTTTTTTGCGGTACGCGGGCCTCTCACTGTTGTGGTCTCTCCCGTTGCGGAGCACAGGCTCCGGATGCACAGGCTCAGCGGCCATGGTTCACGGGCCCAGCCGCTCCGCGACATGTTGTGATCTTCCCGGACTGGGGCACGAACCTGTGTCCCCTGCCTTGGCAGGCGGACTCTCAACCACTGCGCCACCAGGGAAGCCCCAGGTTCACAATTTTTAAGTTGGCTATTCTCTTTGTTCATCTTCTGACATTCCAGTCTTAGAGAGAATACAACACACCAGGGAGATTACTATGATTATTATAAGCCAGATAATCCTTAATGTTTGGAGTGCACTTCGAGCCATGGTCTCTAAGACCCAAAACAATCAAAATCAAATAAGTCAAAGAAAGAACCGTTGAAGTAGTCACCTTCCTAAGCCAAGTGGCTTGCTCAGTGGTCTTACATAACTGAGTCTCAGCTTCCCCAGAAGGGTTATCCAGGTGCAGCAAGTGGTGTTGACCACAGCACAGACCTCTCTTTGTCCAGCTAGAATATAATCAAGGGCTATCCTATGATTAATAGGAACCTTGACCAGAAAGTTTAAGGATCTTTATTGGGCAGCTATTGTCTTAGCAATGGAATCTGCAATGTCTTCAGGAGTTAAGGAGGGGTTCCTGATCATATTGTCACTTGTATTTACTCATAACCAGGGAAGTATGGCCCTGCCAAAGGAAGCTAATCTTGAGTAATGAACACCTTCTGATAATTCCTTTCTAACTCAATGGTGTAAATCCAGGGAAGTCAATCAATGAGATGACTTAACTCATTTGTGGAAAGTTAGAGGCAGAGTTAGATAACCTAAGAGGCATTGCCTGGCTGTGCCCTAGGCATATAGGCAGCCATAGGCCCAGGGAGAATGAAAACAACCACAGAGAGAGACAAAGCATGTTGAGGCACAGACCATTCTGGGTACTGTTAATGGACTCATTCACAGGGTTTGCTGCATTTACCCATCCAAGCCAGGGTTCAGTCAGGTCTTCAGCACATATGGGAAGAGAATCTCTTAGCCTGAAATAAAGAGTCATCCTAAATGCTTTGTAAAGATGTGCACTGCTGGTGAGATCTCTTAGTGATTGGGGGCCAATCTGATTTAGATAATCGTGGGAACGTGGGGTTGCAAATGTACTAAGATTTTTGTAGATATTTGTGTCTAATTGAGTACATACAGTTATGATTTGACAAAGGGAAAAACAAGGCACAGGGTGTTCTGGTGATAAGAGTTGAACTTAGTAAGAGAGTTCTAAATGGGGGTCAACAGTAGTTTGCAGTGACATTGGAAATAGAAGAGAAATTGGTCACAGAATGTCTCTAGCATCATGGATAGATTAGAATCTTTGAAGACAAATTGAGCATTCTGAAAGGTTACTCCCCTTAGCAATGGCCTAGGAGAAACAGATGAGAGTGTTATCTTTCCAAGCCAATGCCAGAGTAAAAGACAGAAAGAGAAGAAAAAAATTTCATGTTCAGTTAAAGTATGAAGTCTTGATCCGGCAGCTTGGGTGGAAACAGTCTATTTTGAAGTCAGCTGCTTCTCTCTTATAGTTTGGTTCAGGGGTATCCAGCATCTGTACAGGACCAGATGTCAGGTGGAGGCTTCCTTAGCTGTGATGTGCTTACCCAAGGCTCAATGCCCTCTAGTTTCACAGCCGTGTTAGTGGTCAGGAACACTTAGTAAGGTCCTTTCGAATGGAGTCCGAAGGCTGTTTTGCTCTGATGACGTTTCCAGAATACCCAGTCACCAGGCTCCAGACTGTGACCAACACGATCTTTTGAATTGGAATACAGGAAATCTTCTTTAACCTGTCAATAGGCTTTAGCATAAGACATTAAAGCCTTACAGTAGCTGATCACATTATCATGAAACAAGGGATCAGCAGACAGTTGTATACCAAGGGACATTTGTCTACCAGTGACTATCTCATGTGGAGTGGGTTTATGTTTCCCAAAGGGTGTATTACAAACAGTCAGCAAGGCCAGAGGCAACATCTTAGACCAAGGGAGTCCAGTAGTTTCAGCAAATTTAGAGATTTTAAGTTTGAGGATCCCATTAGTTCCATCTTGCCTGATGATTGAGGGTGATAGGTACTGTGATGACTCCAAAAACTTTGCAGGGTTTTTGCTAAGGCTCGTATGATTCCCCCCCCCCCCCC